ATTTGCCTTAATCTGAAACTCCAGACGCCCCGTGGACCATTTTACAGGCTGCTCCTTTTACATGGTTGTCTATGGCGAAAAGGGCTTTTGAGCCATCCATCCATCCATCCATTTTCTACCCTTTAATCCATTTCTGGGTCAGGGGGGTGACAGTCAGAGATGCCACCCAAGTCTCATAGCACCAGCCCCTCACTGACCCTCTGCAGGTGGTGAGTCCACAGGAGGACGGCTGCTCTCTGACTGTGAGCATAGCCTTGATCTTTCAGTGGGGGCTTTGGGCAAAGTGGGGTTAAGTGTCTTGCCCAAGGACACAACGACAGCAGTCATCAGTGGGAGTCGGTGGAGAAGGTGCAGAGGTGGGAATTGAACCCACGACCTTCTGGGCTTAAGGCCAATGCTCTACCAACTGAGCTACTGTCGCCCCTTTTGAGCCATAGGCTGCAATACCACGGCCTGCCACTAGAGCAACTCATTTCAGGAAAGGGGGCGGACCCCCCACTGGATTTGAAGCCACTGCAGTGGGCGTGGTTTCCTTGCGGATTTAAATATTTTCTATATATTTAGCTTTACACTTGGCAACACATTTAGATATAACATTTAGATTTAACATTTAGATTTAACATTTAGATATAGATATAACATTTAGATATAGATATAACATTTAGATATAGATATAATATTTAGATATAACATTTAGATATAGATATAACATTTAGATATAGATATAACATTTAGATTTAACATTTAGATATAGATATAACATTTAGATTTAACATTTAACATTTAGATATAGATATAATATTTAGATATAACATTTAGATATAGATATAACATTTAGATTTAACATTTAGATATAACATTTAGATATAGATATAACATTTAACATTTAGATATAGATATAATATTTAGATTTAACATTTAGATATAGATATAACATTTAACATTTAGATATAGATATAATATTTAGATATAACATTTAACATTTAGATATAGATATAATATTTAGATATAACATTTAGATATAGATATAACATTTAGATATAGATATAATATTTAGATATAACATTTAACATTTAGATATAGATATAATATTTAGATATAACATTTAGATATAGATATAACATTTAGATTTAACATTTAGATATAACATTTAGATATAGATATAACATTTAACATTTAGATATAGATATAATATTTAGATTTAACATTTAGATATAACATTTAGATATAGATATAACATTTAACATTTAGATATAGATATAATATTTAGATATAACATTTAACATTTAGATATAGATATAATATTTAGATATAACATTTAGATATAGATATAACATTTAGATTTAACATTTAGATATAACATTTAGATATAACATTTAACATTTAGATATATATATAACATTTAACATTTAGATATAGATATAACATTTAGATATATATATAACATTTAGATATAACATTTAACATTTAGATATAGATATATTTAGATATAACATTTAGATATAGATATAACACTTAGATATAGATATAACATTTAGATATAACATTTAACATTTAGATATAGATATAACATTTAGATATAGATATAACATTTAGATATAACATTTAACATTTAGATATAGATATAATATTTAGATATAGATATAACATTTAACATTTAGATATAGATATAATATTTAGATATAACATTTAACATTTAGATATAGATATAATATTTAGATATAACATTTCACATTTAGATTTAGATATAAACATATATATATAATATTTAACATGTATTTGACAACTACATATAACGTGTCGTTTTACATGAATGTCTGTCTTAAATGTGAGGAAAATGTGCTAAATGTGAGGAAAGTGAGCTAAATGTAGAAAAATGTTCAGCTAAAAAATTTTAACAGAATTTTTACAATCGGCACCCTATAGTAATCCGTGTTTTGTGGAATAAAAATGTAAGCAAAAATGATTAAAGGAGATAAAAAAGCAGCGAGCGAGGAGCAGCAAGAGAATGCGACTGCTCTGTCCAAACCACCCTCTGTACAATGTGTCTGCTCTGTATGTAAGACCACACTGCCCTCTACCTGTGATGGCATGTGGTGCAAGGGAACAGAAGACTGAGACAGTGGATAAGCATGATCTTTTCTTTTATTGAAAAACGCTTTTCCCCCACGTCTCCCACCACCGAAGGGAGGGGGACGTTGGAAGGTTCAGTCTCGTGGGCCTCCGGATGTCCAATCCTGGCCCCTGGATCTCGCTGGAGCAGGCCGTGACGAGCGTGCAACGGTCTGGGGGAGGGCAGGGCGACGTAACGGGGACCGGTCCCTCTCTCTACCTCTCTCTCTGTTCTCAAACGAGGAGCCAACTTGGCGGAGTCCTTCGCCGCTCCGTCGAGTCTTTCCATCAGGCCCCTCATGTCTGGGCCGAAGAGAGACTCTGTGGAGATGGGGAGGTCCAGCAGTTGCTTCTTCTCCGCTTCCCGGACATCAGCGAGCCCCAGCCAGAGATGACGGGCACCGACCTGCGCCGCCGCCATCGTCCGACCACCGTCAATAGCGAGCGCCTGGATCATGCGGAAGGTCGCTGCCGTGGTGGTCCTGGCTTTGGTAAGGACCTCGCCGCTCAACGCCTCGCCAGCGGCGAGTGACCTGTCCAAGGCGCCAGTGATGAGCGCCATATTGCTCGCCAACGCAACGACCTGTGTAGCACCGGTCCAGCACCGACATGGACACCCGGTCCTTGTCGGTGGGGAGGAGCGGTTTGCTGCCCGGCCACAGTGAGGATTTGGGGAGGAGCGCCAGCCTCACCGCATCCTCGACCTCCGGTACGCCTTTGGACCAAGACCAGTCCTGGACTTCACAGTAAGGACCGTACCCCCAGGGCAGGCCTCTTAGCTGTGGAAGGCTTGGTCCAGTCGCGTGTGGCGTAGTGAAACACCGGCTTCATCCGCGGACACAGCGTGGGCACCTGCCTCTTCCTCCCTCTATGAGAAGACCCCACCGAGGTGAAGTCTTCCCTGGGCTGAGCGGGTTGCGGGGGGAACGGGACCTCCATGGTCCTCGCCGCAGCCATGAAGAGGCGGGGCATGTGATCGAGCGGGAACCGGTCCTGCTCGCACCAGGAGGAAGCCTCGTCGAGCGTGATGAAGGAACCCTGGTCCTCATCACGCTCCTCCTCCTCTACAACGCAGTCTCCCCACTCCCTGGGTGCGGGAGGCAGGTCTAGCGGCACGTACTCCTCCTCGAGTTCGTCGTCCTGGGAGAAACCCGGGTGAGCCACTGCGGAGCCAGCATACGCCATGTAGAGGCCTGCACTGGAGCCCTAGGCCCGGGGGGCCCGACAGCCCGAGGGCCGGGCTTCGGGCCAATGACCGTATAATTACCTCGGACACGGGCCGGCCTCGGGCACGCACTGTTATTTTTCAATTGAATTCATGTCTCCTTTTTTTTTTTTTTTTTTTACTGCTAATTAAAGAACTTTTTTTGGTGTGTTTAAATGGAAACACAGTTAACACACAGATGCTCTGTCACACAGGCACGCACGCAACACCCTTCTTTAGGCCTACACACTTGTCACTTACACATCCGCGCGAATTCCCAACTCCCACCGCACAAACAACATGGAGAACGACATAAAGAAAAAGATTGAAAATGGCGAATTGAAGAGAATGGACAACACCAAGGGAAAAGCTCCATTCTGGACTAAGTTTAATCTTATTACAACCATTCAAGATGAGCCAACCGGGTTTGTTCAGTGTGTCGTATGCAAAGCTGTTCTGTCATATGACAGCAAAAAAAAAAGGTTCATCACATCTCCATAGACATTTTGAACGGTCATGTGGCGGATCCAGCAGCAGCGGTCAGTCCGGTCACAGACAAATGAGTGTGGGCAATTATTTCGCAAAACCACCACCAGAAAGGGTGAAGTCAGATGTCATAAAAAAAATTGTGAACTTTTGTTGCATGGACATTTGGCCGTTTGAAACGATTGCTGGAGTCGGTTTCAAAGAGTTAGCACAAGAATTAATAAATGTCGGTGCAACATATGGCCGCATTTCAGCCAAGGAAGTTCTCCCCGACCCCACTACAATCTCCCGAAGGTGCAAAATTGTGGCGAGTGAAAGGAGAGGAGGGACAGTTGAGGAGATAAAGGGGGTGATGTCACTGATAAATATTGGCATGACAACAGATATGTGGACGGATGATTTTCGTAAGATGAGCTACATGGCGATCACATGTCACTATGTAACACCAACATTTGAACTGAAGAGCAAGCTACTCACCACAACATGCTTCCCAAATCATGCCAAAACAGGAGATAATATCCGAATAGAGCTTCAACAGCAGTTAGTCACAGTCCTCGGCTTTGATGCATCAGTTTTGAACAATGTTGTCTGGGTAACCGACCAGGGTGCAAATGTGGTGGCCGCTCTCCGTCCATACAGGCACCTGGCTTGTCAAGATGACCTGTATAACACAGTCCTCCGACATGCCTTGAACACAGATGAACTGGCTGAAGTAGTCCCAGAAGTAGCAGAGACCCTGTTGGCTGCGAAGGCTTTAGTCCGCTATCTTAAACAATCTGGTCTGGCCAGTCAGCTGCCAAAAACTGTGAAACAAATGGCAGAGACCAGGTATAGCACAGTCTTCCTCACACTGGAGTCAATCCAGTCAGTCCATGGAGAGCTGCAGGAGCTTCTTCAGAGCCGTGGTGAGAGCACGCGATTGCGCAATGTCTCCCCAGATGTTCTAGCCTTCCTTGTGGAATTTCTGCGCCCATTTAGCGGTGCGCAAAAGGAGCTAGAAGGGGACAAATACCCAACACTGCACCTTGTCGTCCTCTGGGCCAACAAGCTGAAAAGCCACTGCCAACCAGACGTGGCTGATACTCCTTCCCAGGCTGTCATTCGCCAACGACACCTTGACTGGTTAATGAAAAAAATCCAAATCCAGCCAGTTCATTAAATTGCCATCTTCCTATGGCCTAAGTTCAACCAACTACGAATGTTTACTCTCGCTGAGAGGAGCGACATCCAGCAACAGGTCAGAATCCAGGTAAACCGCTTCAGGAAGGGAGAGGATGCACGTCGGCAGGAGCAGTCTACACAATCAGGTATTTGTGTCTTATTAGCCTATAATTGACAGTTACATTACATTTATAAATAGCTTAATTGTGTTATGATTTACGCAGGGTCAGGTGCAGTAGCAGCTGCTGGTCCCGCACCAAAGAGGAGAGCACTGGCGGAGTTTGAGGACGCGTGGGAAAATGTCAGAGTGGACAACGAAGATACTGATGAAATCCAGGTCTACCTCAGCCTCAACCCCACCATGGAAGCTGATGGAAGGGATCTGCTGAGCTGGTGGAAGCAACACGAGACCACATTGCCGTTACTGGCACGTCTGGCCCGCATGGTCTTCAGTGTCCCGGCCAGCAGCAGCAGCAGCGAGCGTGCTTTTAGCGCAGCTGGAAGAGTCATAGAGGAAAGGAGGACTGGACTTGCCCCTGAAACGGTGGATGCAGTCCTTTTTCTGCACGATGCCAAATAGACTGTTCCTCTTGTGATGTTCAAACAACGGAGGACATTTGCCATGTTAAGCGGCTCTGTATCGCCATGTTCAGGTGAAGATTTGTTATAGGCCTACGCCGCCCATGCAATTAGCTGTTGTCTTTATTTAGAAAAAAAATATTGATTCAATTTTGCTGCGTTTAGCCTACTAATAAAACCTTTTATAAGGTTTAAGTGTTTTGTTGTTTTTAGCCTACCTTATGTTTGGATTTGCTGTCCGCTCATTAACAAAAAACTAAATAATAATTGAAACAATTCCACTACTAGTTCTCAAGCTGCTGATTGAAACATGAGCCCATATTTTAACATGCTCTTTTTGTCCACTTTTATCTGTCAGAAACGTTTGTTTATTCATAGAAAAAATAGAAAGCTGTTTTTTGTAACTGCAGAGCATTTTCCCATTTTCAGAGCGGCAGATTACATTTACGAACGCACCCGATGAATATGCGTTCTGTCACGCTAACACATTGTTATTAGAGGTTAAAGAAAAAATAAAGGTCGGCTTGATACGGGTTTGGGCTTGAGAATTCAGAAACCATGTCGGGCCAGGGCCGGTCTCGGGCCCAGATAATAGGCCCGTGCAGGGCTCTAACGCCATGCAGCGCTGTCTCTCCTCCCTGGGGAGAGAGAGGCACGCTTTGCAGCTAGCCTCGTCCCCCTGGTAGTGGGATACACCCAGGCAAAGGTCCTTGCGGGAGATCCTGGTCCTGCAGCTCCTGCACCGCCTTTGTCCGACACCGGAGGGCGACGGGGTTCTCGGACGCGACAGGGAAGGAGAAGACATCTTTAAATCGGTGAGTAGATCTTCTCTCAATGGCGCCAGAGTGAAAAGTTGCTGGTACGGGCCGTAGAGGGCTTTTTATAGATGGGACTGGCACGTGATTGGAGCATTTAGTTCTCTCTGGTGGGAAGCTAGGCGCTTCTGGAGTATACCCATAGCGAAGCCTCCTCTAAGGGGCAAAGCACCATTATGTAGAATCTATAAAAGATGATCATATTTGACAGTTGGTGGTTTCATCCTGTATTCAATATGATTACTTGATGTGCTTGCACCATATAATGAAACATTTAGGGACAGAAAGAAGTGTTCATTGTAACAGACTTGGCTTTGACATCTTAAATAGAATGGTATGTTTGGAAATTATGTTTTATGTATTGACTTGCAGTAAAGAGACGGAGGTGAACACCGGATGAAGCGGAAGCTGTGGAACGACACATGATGGACTTTGTAACTCGTTGCGAGGTACCGGGCAAAAGGAGCTGTGAGGCTTGCCTCCGATCAGAGCCCCAAGCTTTGAGAGCAAGAGACTGGCTTGACATAAAAAACTTCATCCACAATAGGATAACAACAATGAAAAGAAAATTGAGCAAATAGTCAATGCCGATCTTAACAAGAGTCCATGTTTGAGTTATTATAATGTTTGAGTTAACGTTTCTCAGTATTCACACTGTCATGACTTTGAGATTGCAAACGTTTTTAATGTGTTAGAGTTGTTGGCAGAGAATGGCAATGGCTAGATTTCTAATTCAAATTGGAGTTATCACACCTTTTTTTCTTGTAAAGCAATGCAAAAATTTGCCACTGGTTACATGGAAGAAAGAAATTCGTTCCATAATTGGTCATACTCTAGGCCATAGTTTAATCAAAGAGGGAGGCATCCACTGAGACTTTAAAGTACTTAACTACAGGTCCTACTGTTCGTTCAGGACACTAGCTAGTTTACACTAGCTTTTCTGAAGAAATTTCACATGAACATGAAAAAAAAAAAATGTACAGTGTAATTTTCAAGTACATTTTTTTGTTGATTGTCCAAATAAAATGGGTAACCGTTAAGGATAAGGTGAACTTTATTGTCACTGTGGAAACATTTTTTTCTCTGCATTTGACCCATCCTTCGATACCACTGGGGCAATCAGTGCATGTGTCTATGTTCAACTGGTCTCTATATCTCTTTATTACCATTGTCAATGAGGGTACATAGTGATACTCTGATAAGAGATTTCTCAAATATAAATATAACTATAAAGCTGCATAAATGGTGAGTTACAGATTCAGATTCATTTATTTGCCATTTGCAGTAAAACCACATTGGAATACATTAGCAAAAGTTCCCAGTGTGCACAAGACAAGTACAGACATGACACAACATTAAAAGTACAGAAATAAAACAAATAACAAAAAAAAGTAAACAATGTCACTGTGATATTGACCAACTAAAACAGATCTATACAAGTGCAAAATCATTAAAGTGCTCTGTTCACACTGATAACAGTCTGTGGATAAAAACTGTTAGCGTAACGAGATGTCCTGCATCTCAGAGAGCGATATCTTCTGCCAGAGGGAAGAAGCTGGAACATGGCTTTCCCAGGGTGGCCAGAAGAGTCATTAACAATCCTAAGAGCTTTGTTTAAAAGTCTGGATTTATAAAGAACCTCCAGAACAGGAAGCTCACAGCCCACGGTCCTCTTTGCAGAGCGGAGCACCTTGTTTAAAGCTCTCTTTTCTTTATCTGTGATGTTTCCAAACCACACAGACACAGAACCAACAAGTAAACTCTCAATGGTGCAGCAATAAAAGTTAAGCAGAATCTTAGAGTTAGTGGTAAATTCTCTAAGTTTTTGCAGGAAGTAGAGACGCTGACGAGCTTTCTTAACGACTCGGTCAGTGTTTTTAACCCATTTCAGGTTAGACAGAGTTAGACCCAGAAACTTGCTCCTCTACGATCTGCACCTGGGAGTTGTCGATTACGACAGGCAAATGAGAACTATTGCGACTGAAGTCGTGACCAGTTCACATGTTTTGGATGCGTTCAACTGGAGGTTGTTAGTTTGACTCCACTGAACCACATTTTGTATCTCTGCTCTATAAGAGGATTCATCAGTGTCACTGATGAGACCAATGATGGTGGTGTCATCAGCATATTTGATGATCAAGTTAGAGTCAGAGGAGGACACACAGGATGTGGTGGGAAGGGTTAGCAGTGATCCGACCTGGACGCCTCCGGGTCCTAGAGACATAAAGGTCCTGGAGAGATTGAAGTTTACAGACCTGATGTGTGTGTTGTAGGTCCTAATATCTCACTCAGACCTGATGTGTGTGTTGTAGGTCCTAATATCTCACTCAGACCTGATGTGTGTGTTGTAGGTCCTGTCAGGAATGAAGCAGACAGAGACGGATCGTGGTGCGCCAAACTCTAGAAGTTTATTTAAGTTTCTCTCAAGTTCCAGTGGTTTCCCTTGTTTCTTTCTCCCAGACAGAATGGAGTCAGTACACAGTTTATATAGTCATTGTCACGTCACACATGGAATGACGTGTCACACAGAGACAGTCACATCATAGTCAAAATAATCAGAGTCCTTGTACAGTCCTGCACATAGGCCATATTGCTATCTAATACTAACACTCACCCCTTTGATCACATAATCACATGTGATCACTCAATTTGATCAATCAATAAAGTGAAAAAAAAAAATTCTAAAAAAAAAACTTAAAACAATTATTAAAAAACTAAGAAAATGTATGCATTACGCCCTATACCCACCGCACGCGTCTTTTGAAGCGCTGAGAGTCGCGCAGCGGCGCGCCGCGCAGATTTGAAATACGCGGCCATGTTATCAGCGAGGACCCACAGCACGAGAAGCGCCGCGAGCCATGCTCGTCTGGACAAAATAGGACACTCGCGTATTTTTGCTCACGCAGTGACGCGTCTCCCAGTCAAAACACATGGGAAACATGTTTGTGCTTTGAAGACACCCCATGGCCATATTCTTGTCACTGTGTACAATACATGAAGTACATTTCCCACCGCATTTGTCTGTGGGATGACATACAGTATATGGAGATGACGTAGGGGGCTTTTTCCCCCGGGGTCACAGCTGTGGGCATTTTTTCCCGGTGTCACAGCTGAGATCGAGGACGCGAAACTCATCGAAGCTGTAGAGCATTTTCCAGCGCTTTATTCGGCACAAGATCCAAATTACAAAGATAATCGAAAGAAGGACAAAGCCCGCCAGGCGTTCAGTGGCAACGATTGTTGGCGCTGATGGTATGTATAACTACTTTAATCATGTCATCGTCTTTGTGTATGTTTAGCTAATCAATAGCGTAGCTATTTCTAATTTGGTACACCACGAGTAAGTACTAAACAACTTAATACATGATATTTGTGTATTTATATCAGTGTTAGATAGTGCTATGAAGTATACATATATACGGAATGGTACGAAAAGTTGTGATCAGCTAATTATGCAGCTGGCTCCATCTAGAGGAGTTTCGCGGGCATAGCGCCGCTCACCATAGCCATTTTCCGGTTATATACTCATAGGACTTTTACATATTTAGAGTGCAGTTGAAAATAACTAACGACTCATCAATATAAAAATAACAAGTCAATGTTTAATGTTACATTGACATCAAAACAACACAGGGTCACAAAAAGCAATTACATTAATAAAAACAAATTTAAAATGTACATTTTAAAATGTACATTTCATTTACAAAGATTCCTATAAACGACAATGGGTTCTGCGAAAAGCTACACTATAGCTATAGGGCTATCATATTTAGAGTGAAGTTGCAAATAAGTTATTACTAACAACTAGGGCTGGGACAACGCGTCGACGTAATCGGTGACGTCGACGCAAAAAATACACCGACGTATAATATGCGCGTCGGTGCGTCACACACAAAACAAAGATGGCGGCGAGCGGTAGCAATGCGAGTGCCGTGTTAGAGAAGTGCAAGCCGGTGTAACGCTGAGATACACTGCCTTGAAGAGATGCACTGCCTCAGCTGTTTATGATGTAATGCAAACCTGCGCATGCGCGTCTCACGGCAGCCGAAGCAAACCAAGATGGCGGACCGTGAATTTCTTTAAAAGTTAAAATACGAACGAATTCAGACACGAATGTCACGTTTAATGCAATTTGAGGCGAGATGTTGATGGTTCCGTTTTGTCACATGTGGGTTTTAAGAGTCAAAGTTTCGTGCAAAGTTTAGTTTAAGCAGTCAACTGCGCCTGTGAAACCACAATGCTAATGTTTTCATAGCAGTCCGCGGCTGCTGACGTAGGCTGATGACGCGTCCTGTGGCAACTCTACACTCTTACAACTAGTCTGTCTTTCTTTGTATCAAACGGAATATTGGCGCCCGTAATAGCCCCTACATGTATTATTCACTGTCATGCCCGCCGTATATGGACATTTTTCAACATGTGTTCAATATCCTTAATGTGTTTAACTGTTGATTGATTCTCTGATCTGTGTTGGTGACTTCAATGTTGTTTTAAGTCCTCTGAGATGACTTCTACTGTATTCTTTCAGTAACTCTAAAAGAAAGGATGACTGGTTGACCTTTTTATTTGCTACACAATGCATTGTTTTTCTCTTGTACACTCTTACTTGAATTTTATTTTTGAATTTTGAGTTTAAGAAAAAGGTGAGTGGCAGAGTTTTGACTGTTATTTTTATATGAATGAAGAATTTAAGAGATGCACTTTAATTAATGGACTTCAGTAATATAGGCCTATGTGTCTTCAACTTAAATGTTAAACTCTGTTGGTTCAGGAAGGACGCCATGACAGGCTGATGGCTCCCACTGTTTTTGCTGGAAAAGCACTCTTTGTTTAGCTTAAAGCCTTCAAGTTTACATTGGTTACTGTTTTCTTTTAGTTGCTCTACACAAGTATTTGGCTGAACTTTTTCATATTTTTATTGAATGCTAAGCATCAAATGTTTGTTTCAAGAATGATAAGATGCACTTTTTTCAGTAAGCTGTGTTTTCAAGGCTTTAAGGTTTTATGCTACCTCTAAGAATGTCTTATTTTTGAATTTTAAGAGCAAGCAATAAATATTTTTTATGAAGGAATTCATGTTTTTTTCATTAAAATATTTAAATCAACATGTATACATCAATATTAGTCAATTAATGGGGAGATAATCGAGAATCGAATCAAATCAAAATCGAATCGAAGCGAAAAAAATAATCGTTAGATTAATCGATGCATCGAAAAAATAATCGCTAGATTAATCGTTTAAAAAATAATCGTTTATCCCAGCCCTACTAACAACTCAATATAAAAATAACTAATCATTGTTTAATGTTACATTGACATCAAAACAAACAAGGTCACAACAAGCAATTGTATTATAAAAAACAAACACATTTTAAAATTTACATTTCATTTGCAAAGATTTCTATAAACTACAATGGGTTCTGTGAAAAGAAGGTGCACAGCTTGTCCCTTACAGATGAAGCCGCCTCACTGGCTCTTTGCCCTCCCATCCCCTGTTGCACCCTGTGCATATCCAGGCCTCTGTCTCTAGCCTCTGCCAGCCACATCTGATTATCTACATTGTTGCTCAGGAAGTTGTGTAAAATGCAGCAGGAGATAATCACTGAGTCAACATGTTGTGGTGATAGGACAATTTTTGTGAGAAGCACCCTCCATCTCGCAGCCATTATGCCGAAGGCACACTCCACTACCATCCTCGCCCGAGACAAACGGTAGTTGAAAACCTTCTTTTGAGCGGTCAGGTTGGTGCCACCAAATGGACGCATTAGATTCAGATTCAGATTCATTTATTTGCCATTTGCAGTAAAACCACATTGGAAAAACTGTGCAAGACTACCCCGGTGTGCACCAGACAGAGAAGACGACACACACCAGAGCTCTTGCCACGGCGCCATCTTTACGGCGCCATGCGACAAACAGTAGAATAAACAGCAGAGAGCAATAACATACAGTTTCACAGACAGTTGGATAGAAACATTGTGCTTTGTATAAAGCACGGATTTTTTTCTCGGGATGAGCACCTCCGACAGCCGGCCAATGTGGCTGTCAGAGGGGGGCAGGGTCAGGGAGGGGGGTGAGTCGGAAACACAGTGAGGAGTGGAGGGGAGGGAGGGAGCAAGATGGATAGGTAGAGGGAGGCGGGGGAGGGATCCGTGCTGGAGACTGAATAGTGTGAGTTGTTGTAGATGGGACCTTTGTTATTATGGCCTTGGCCGAAGGAATGTGAGATAAGAGTGGAGAGAAGGCACAGGAGGAGAAAAACACATCGCCTGTGAAGAGGGACAATATTATATGCAATGTAGCAGTCAAAAGCAGGCAGATATTCTATTAAATCCAATTAATCCGAATTGCGGCGCCCTCAGACCTCCGTACACAGGGGCAAATCCAAGCCGGGTCAGAGAATTCAAGCCTGACACACGATGTCATTCAATCTCAACTCCAAAGTTTTATTCCCTTCGAGTGAACGAGCTGCGAGGTCTTTTATCAACTGTTCCACCAAAACCACTCTCCTTTGTCCAGACACGGCACTCTCAACCACGACGCGGCTAAGCTCCTTGTACATCCCATCAATTTTGTTGGCCAGCAGGTCGTGAATCTTGCGAACTGCCATGCCTCTGAATTTGTGGTAGAAGAGAACCGCTCCAAACCCAAACAGGAGGATTCCCACCACCAAAATGCCAAAGATATATACGTCTTCCGAATCTTCAATGGACAGGGTCGACAGACAGAGGGGCTGAAACTTGTTCCAGCTGTCAAGAGTATACCCCGCTGGTGAAGTCCCGTCCGGGCACATGGGCTCTCCAGACCCACGCTTACGTGTTGAAAAGATAGAATCAATTGCGTTGAGGGACCAGTTAATCATTTCCATTCTTGTTAAAGTTGTCTGTGGCAAAACTCCAGGAAAAAGACAAAACAGGAGATAGCAAGCCGTTCAGAAGCAGGAGCGTCTGAGACACGTCTTTGCTCGACGGAGGCGGAAGTCTCCGTCGAGCAACATAGGGCTTTTACATAGGGCTTTAGGGGGAATGCTGCATCCCCCACGATCACATGTGGGATGCTTCCCAGCTCTTCAGCTCCAGGCAATGGTTTGGGCTGTGGGACATGAAAGTCTCGTTCTCCAGGCCTCTCTTCAGGTTTGAGGCTGAGAAAACACCTCCATCACTGGCTCGTCCATAGTTTCCCACGTGGATGTATGTGAATTTGTAGTTGGCATCCACTAAGGCCATGAGGACAATAGAAAAATTGTGTTTGTAATTATAATAAAGACTTCCAGAGATAGGTGGTGCTTTGATGTCATTGTGTTTGCCATCTATAGCACCGATGCAGTTTGGGAAATTCCATTTCTCCCAAAAAGCTGCAGCGATGCTTCTCCAGCTGTCCTCAGTGGGCCTTGGAATCTGGCTCCTGAGCATTAGCTTTTCTATGGCTTCCAGTGTGTCCTGGACAATCCGAGCCACAGCTGTGACACCAAGTCTGTACTGAAAGGCCAGACTGGTGGACGTTTGTGCTCAAGATGCCCACCGAGGGCCCAAGCACGCGGCAAAAGGAGCGCAAAGATCCTGATCAGACTTCAGGTAATCTGGTCCTGGAGATACGGGCGTTGACCGCCACAATCGACGCACTAAAACTCTCCTTTGAGCAGCAGCTGGATTCTAAAGTGGACAGTTTGCGGGACTCGGTGCAATTAATGATGTCCGAAAACAAGGAGTGGCTAAAAGAGCTCTCTCTGAAAGCAGCTGAAATCCAAACTAACATCCAACAAAATATGGATAATGATATAAGCCTATTGATAAGGAGGATTGAACAAATGGAAGCTAAAATCAATCGCTCCGAGAAGACGCGTTTTGACCCAGACGTGTCCATTGTTGTCACCGGGCTAAACTACAACAGCGGGGAAAACGTCACCTGCCTGGTGAAGGAGCTACTCACCGAGGGACTGCTGGAGAACACACCGATCGTGGACGCAGAGAGGCTGAAGGACAGAGGAGGACGTCCGGGAGTGGTGAAGGTGGAATTTGGATCCGTACAGGAGAAAATCAGCGTGCTGCGTAAGAAACAGCTCCTCAAAGACAACCCAAAGTACAGCCGGGTGTATATCCGCTCGGGTAAGACGCACGCGGAGCGGCTTATTGAACTCAACTTCAGAACCTTGCTGGATGAGTTGCCTTTCGGTCGTCAATTTTACGTTGCGGGAAATGGCAAAATCCGAAGAAGGCCCGGCTCTGGAGCGGGTGCCGAAGCCAGCATTGGAGCCGGTGCTGGGACCAGCGGGGGCAACAGCGGCGCGATGCGGCGCACGGCTACCTGAGGGTCTGCAGCCCAGCCCGTGAGTGAGCTCTACACGCTTGTACACTGGAACGTAAATGGATGGACCGACCTAAACTCTGAACTTAGACGATGTATCTTATTGAGTCATGACCCAAACTTTATCTCTTTGAATGAGACCCATTTAATTGGACAGAACACTATTGACATTAATGGTTATACATGGTTTGGACATAACAGGAGGACTCATATCAAAGCTAAAAAAGGCTCTGGAGGGGTTGGTATCTTTATTAAAAACAATACTCTTCAAGAGTTTGATGTACTCTCTGTTGATAGATCTAACGAGGGTATAATATGTATAAATCTTAAGGATGTGATCTCTAAATATTCCCTGGCTTTGCTTTCCTGTTACCTTCCACCTGAAGGATCCACATGGTCTGACTCACAGAGACTGTACAGCGCTCTTTTTGTTAAAATGTATGATTTAGTTGAAATGGACACAGTATATATTTGTGGAGATTTTAATAGTCGGATTGGACACTTGGCGGACTGGATCAGTGACTCTGATTTAACCATTCCTCCTAGAGGGACTGTGATAGATGATATTGTAAACTCTCAAGGGGAAATGTTGATTGATTTTTTGAGAGACAGCAAATGTTGTGTTCTAAATGGTCGCATTTTGGGGAAGGATAATTTCACCTCTGTATCTGTGAAAGGAAGAGCAGTGGTGGATTACATTATCACAACTCATGATTGCCTGTACACCTCCTGTAATTTACATGTTTATAGTCCAAACGAGCTTCTTGACAGAAATGTGTCTTATTTTGATTTATTGGACTATCGCTGTAAAATGCCTGATCACTCTCTGTTAGTTTTAACTTTCAAAGGAAGGCAAAACCCTGTGGTGTCAAGTAAGGTACAGCCTAAACAATACAAACAAAGAAACACAAGAAATCTCCCCCATCATCTCTTTACAAATGACAGGTTTCAGTCTGCAGTCACAGAATTAGTAGATCATTTGACCCATGTAAATCATGAACATCTGATGAATGATGTGTATGGAGATTTTTGTCAATTAATGTATGATATTGGTAAATCTCATGGCATCATTAAGTGCACTACTAGAAAACAAAATAAAACAACAAATCAACCTTACTGGAACAAGGAATTATCTACAACGTGGAAAGGGGTGAGACTGGCTGAGAAGAAGTATCTCCTGTGCAATAGCATAAATAAACAACAGCTAAAATATGATTTTAAAAATAAACAACACCAATTTGATAAAAGACTCCGAGCGAACAAGAGAAGATATCAAAGAGGACTAGCTGTAAAAATTGAACATAATCAAACTCATAAACCCCAATCATTTTGGAGTCTGGTGAATAAACTTGGCCCAAGAAAAGAGAAAGAAATACCACTAGAAGTGGTTTTGGAGGATGGATCCTTTTTTTTTTTATGTTAAAATGGTATTAAAGAATTGGGAATCTGAATTTAAAGCCTTATTCTCCGGTGGTTTGGTGTCCCCTGAGTGGGACGATTCTTATTTTGAAATGATATTGGTGCTAAAAGTCCAAATGGAAATCTCTGCAAAGTTTTCATATAATCCATATTTAAATTTTGATATTACAGAAAGTGAAGTCAAAAGGGCAATAGATAAACTAAAAGTTAAGAAAGCGACTGGATTTGACAACTTCCATCCATCCATCCATTTTCTACCCTTTAATCCATTTCTGGGTCAGGGGGGTGGCAGTCAGAGATGCACCAGCCCCTCACTGACCCTCTGCAGGTGGTGAGTCCACAGGAGGACGGCTGCTCTCTGAGTGTGAGCATAGCCTTGATCTTTCAGTGGGGGCTTTGGGCAAAGTGGGGTTAAGTGTCTTGCCCAAGGACACAACGACAGCAGTCATCAGTGGGAGTCGGTGGAGAAGGTGCAGAGGTGGGAATTGAACCCACGACCTTCTGGCCTTAAGACCAATGCTCTACCAACTGAGCTACTATCACCCCTGTCGGATCTGACAACTTGTCTAATGAATTGCTAAAACAGCCTGGTTTGTTCCCACTGCTTTATAATTTACTGTTTACTTGCTTTGAGCAGGGCTTGATCCCTTCAGACTGGCACAAATCTGTTATCAAACCTATTCCAAAGTCACAGAGTTCAGACCCTCGAGTGCCTATGAATTATAGAGGAATAAGTCTCCTTAGTTGTGTGTACAAATTGTATAGCAGTATTCTTAATGAGAGATTGACGTGTTACCTGGAATCCCTTGACCTACTGGCTGACGAGCAAAACGGGTTTAGGACAAAGAGAGCCTGTATAGATCACATTTATTCTCTTATCTCAGTAACAAATGCTAGAATACAAGAGGGAAAGTCTACATTTGCCTGTTTCATAGACTTTCAGAAGGCCTTTGACTGTGTTAATCGAGATTTACTTGGCTATATGTTATTAAAAATGGGGATTGATGGTAAATTTTATGACGCAGTTAAAGCTATTTATAAAAATCCAATTTCTTGTGTTCAAGTAAATGACCACTTCACTGACTGGTTCCCAACACCATACGGCGTAAAACAGGGTGATGTTCTGTCTCCCACATTATTTGCTATATACATTAATGATTTAGTAAATGAAGTAAAAGAGGCAGATGTGGGCATTAATGTGGGAGACTTGAAATGTTGTATTCTGTTGTATGCGGACGACAATGTGCTATTCGCCGAAAAGGAATCAGACCTTCAGAAAATGTTGAATATTGGTCATGCTTGGTGCAACATAATGAGACTGATGATAAATTCTGATAAAACTCAAGTTATGCATTTCAGAGGAAGTACCCAGGCATTATCAGACATTACATTTTGTTTTGGCAATACAGTTCTTTCTTTTACTAAAGAGTACAAATATCTGGGATTTAAGGTAGATGAACATCTCACATTTGATGAAGGGATTAAATCACTCTCTGAATCTGCAGGTCGAGCTCTCGGTGCTGTTATAAATAAAGTGAAGGCGTGTCGTGATCTGGGTTATAAGACCTACACTGAGCTGTACAGAGCGTGTGTGTGCCCGGTGTTGGACTATGGCGCTGGGGTCTGGGGTTATTCTAAACAGACGCACAGTGAAAAAGTTCAATGCAGAGCTATGAGATACTTTCTAGCTGTTCATAAAAACACCCCTAAACTTGCTCTGTACGGGGACCTGGGTTGGGAACCATGTGAAGTAAGGCATGTGTGTGACATGGTACGGTTATGGAACAGGTTTATCAACATGTCTGACTCAAGACTGTCCAAACACATCTTTAAATGGGACCTGTCTCATAGAAATGCTTGGAGTGTGCAGATGGGAGAAAATTTTTGCTGATGCTGATCTCCAGTTTATTTTCAGAAACAAGTTGCGTTGTAGTGTTGGAGAATTTAAAAGAGTTTATTTTGAAAAGTATAAACATAAATGGTTAATCAATGTCTTGTGTAAGCCAAAACTGAGAACTTATGTTTTGATAAAGGATCATTTTGGTCCTGAGCCCTATGTGACCCTGAATCTGACCAGAGGTCATAGGTCAGTTTGTGCTCAACTAGAGACAGGACGATTTCACTCGGCCCCAGAGGAGGAGCGGACATGTTGTTTGTGTCACTTAAATGATATTGAAAATGAATTGCATTTTGTTTTTTATTGTCCTCTGTACCATGATCTGAGAAGGCAATTATTTTGCAAACTGTCTGATGTTGCTGAACTTTTGTTTGAACTGTCTGATGAGGAAAAGCTTAAGTTTCTATTCAAGTATAAGCCATTTCATTTTTCTAAGTTTTTGTTAAGTGCATGGCTCCAACGGAAGAGAACACTCTTTGTTTGATGTTTTTCTGATGTCTGCTACATTTTTGTGTCTTATAAGCCCATACGGGCTGGGCATCTTTAGGTGCAAGACACCAAATAAGAAATAAACTAAACTAAACTAAACTTTCACCGGAGGCCAGGAATCTGAAATGAAGAAAAATATATAACATTAAAAGATTATCAATGCATTTACATTTAAGTTTTTTTCTCTCATTACAGTTGAAGAATGCAAGTGGAGGTGGAAGGGGCTGAGGGACTCCTATGTAAAATTTAAAAAGTTCCCTCCAAGTGGCTCCGGAGGAGGAAGTGAGCGTGACTAGAGGCACGAAAAGGAAATTAAACCAAGGAGGTAAAGTATAAGAATATATCATTACGTTTTTATGTAGTTTTAGTTTCTATTGCTGGTAGAAGTTTAAAAAAAAAATACTTTTGAGTTTTTTATGAAGATACTTACTGATTAATATTTTGGTTTATGACTGTCACGGCTCCAGGGACTCACATGGAGACACGTCTGCAGACGACAATGTCCAGGAGGGTGCAGATGAGGAAGCATCACAGCCACATTCTCCAAACCCACATGACACAGAAGAACGGCTTTTAAGAACCCCCCCCCCCCCCATCACGCTCTACCACAAGAACCCCCCCATCCCCACCTCACTCCAGCACAAGAACCCCCCCATCCCATGGACATAATAAAGGAGACGCCCCCCCCCCCACCCCCTCCCCCCCACATACCCACAGAGAACGAGTCCATAGTCCACTTCTTCATGAGTGTAGTCCCACGAGTTAGCGCACTATCGCAACCGTCCAGAGCAGCCATACAAATTAGGATCCTTCATTTAATACGTGAATTGGAAGAAGACCGAAGAGCATATTATCCACAGCACCCACCGCAGCACCCACACCCGCTCCCACCACAGCACCCACACCCGCTCCCACCACAGCACCCACACCCGCTCCCACGCCAGCACCCACACCCGCTCCCACCACAGCACCCACACCCGCTCCCACCACAGCACCCACACCCGCTCCTTCACCAGCACCCACACCAGCTCCCACCACAGCACCCACACCAGCTCCCACGCCAGCACCCACACCCGCTCCTTCACCAGCACCCACACCAGCTCCCACCACAGCACCCACACCCGCTCCTTCACCAGCACCCACACCCGCTCCCACCACAGCACCCACACCAGCTCCCACGCCAGCACCCACACCAGCTCCCACCACAGCACCCACACCAGCTCCCACGCCAGCACCCACACCCGCTCCCACGCCAGCACCCACACCCGCTCCCACGCCAGCACCCACACCCGCTCCCACCACAGCACCCACACCAGCTCCCACCACAGCACCCACACCCGCTCCCACCACAGCACCCACACCAGCTCCCACGCCAGCACCCACACCAGCTCCCACGCCAGCACCCACACCCGCTCCCACCACAGCACCCACACCCGCTCCCACCACAGCACCCACACCAGCTCCCACGCCAGCACCCACACCCGCTCCCACCACAGCACCCACACCCGCTCCCACCACAGCACCCACACCCGCTCCCACCACAGCACCCACACCCGCTCCCACCACAGCACCCACACCAGCTCCCACGCCAGCACCCACACCCGCTCCCACCACAGCACCACACACCCGCTCCCACCACAGCACCCACACCAGCTCCCACCACAGCACCCACACCCGCTCCCACCACAGCACCCACACCAGCTCCCACCACAGCACCCACACCAGCTCCCACGCCAGCACCCACACCCGCTCCCACCACAGCACCCACACCCGCTCCCACGCCAGCACCCACACCCGCTCCCACCACAGCACCCACACCCGCTCCCACCACAGCACCCACACCAGCTCCCACCACAGCACCCACACCCCGCTCCCACCACAGCACCCACACCAGCTCCCACGCCAGCACCCACACCAGCTCCCACCACAGCACCCACACCAGCTCCCACCACAGCACCCACACCAGCTCCCACGCCAGCACCCACACCAGCTCCCACCACAGCACCCACACCCGCTCCCACCACAGCACCCACACCCGCTCCCACGCCAGCACCCACACCCGCTCCCACCACAGCACCCACACCAGCTCCCACCACAGCACCCACACCAGCTCCCACCACAGCACCCACACCAGCTCCCACCACAGCACCCACACCCGCTCCCACCACAGCACCCACACCCGCTCCCACGCCAGCACCCACACCCGCTCCCACCACAGCACCCACACCCGCTCCCACCACAGCACCCACACCAGCTCCCACCACAGCACCCACACCAGCTCCCACCACAGCACCCACACCAGCTCCCACCACAGCACCCACACCCGCTCCCACCACAGCACCCACACCAGCTCCCACGCCAGCACCCACACCCGCTCCCACGCCAGCACCCACACCCGCTCCCACGCCAGCACCCACACCCGCTCCCACCACAGCACCCACACCCGCTCCCACGCCAGCACCCACACCCGCTCCCACGCCAGCACCCACACCCGCTCCCACTACAGCACCCACACCAGCTCCCACGCCAGCACCCACACCAGCTCCCACGCCAGCACCCACACCAGCTCCTTCACCAGCACCCACACCAGCTCCCACGCCAGCACCCACACCCGCTCCCACGCCAGCACCCACACCCGCTCCCACCACAGCACCCACACCAGCCCCACCACAGCACCCACACCAGCTCCCACCACAGCACCCACACCAGCTCCCACCACAGCACCCACACCCGCTCCCACCACAGCACCCACACCAGCTCCTTCGCCAGCACCCACACCAGCTCCTTCACCAGCACCCACACCCGCTCCCACCACAGCACCCACACCAGCTCCCACCACAGCACCCACACCCGCTCCCACCACAGCACCCACACCCGCTCCCACGCCAGCACCCACACCAGCTCCCACCACAGCACCCACACCCGCTCCCACCACAGCACCCACACCAGCTCCCACGCCAGCACCCACACCCGCTCCCACGCCAGCACCCACACCAGCTCCCACGCCAGCACCCACACCAGCTCCCACGCCAGCACCCACACCAGCTCCCACGCCAGCACCCACACCAGCTCCCACCACACGCACCCACACCCGCTCCCACCACAGCACCCACACCAGCTCCTTCACCAGCACCCACACCAGCTCCCACCACAGCACCCACACCAGCTCCTTCACCAGCACCCACACCAGCTCCCACCACAGCACCCACACCAGCTCCCACGCCAGCACCCACACCCGCTCCCACCACAGCACCCACACCCGCTCCCACCACAGCACCCACACCAGCTCCCACGCCAGCACCCACACCCGCTCCCACCACAGCACCCACCGCAGCACCCACACCCGCTCCCACCACAGCACCCACACCCGCTCCCACCACAGCACCCACACCCGCTCCCACCACAGCACCCACACCAGCTCCCACCACAGCACCCACACCCGCTCCCACCACAGCACCCACACCAGCTCCCACCACAGCACCCACACCAGCTCCCACGCCAGCACCCACACCCGCTCCCACCACAGCACCCACACCCGCTCCCACCACAGCACCCACACCCGCTCCCACCACAGCACCCACACCAGCTCCCACGCCAGCACCCACACCCGCTCCCACGCCAGCACCCACACCCGCTCCTTCACCAGCACCCACACCAGCTCCCACCACAGCACCCACACCAGCTCCCACCACAGCACCCACACCCGCTCCCACGCCAGCACCCACACCAGCTCCTTCACCAGCACCCACACCAGCTCCCACCACAGCACCCACACCCGCTCCCACGCCAGCACCCACACCCGCTCCCACCACAGCACCCACACCAGCTCCCACCACAGCACCCACACCAGCTCCCACCACAGCACCCACACCAGCTCCCACCACAGCACCCACACCAGCTCCCACCACAGCACCCACACCAGCTCCCACCACAGCACCCACACCAGCTCCCACGCCAGCACCCACACCCGCTCCCACCACAGCACCCACACCAGCTCCCACCACAGCACCCACACCAGCTCCCACGCCAGCACCCACACCCGCTCCCACGCCAGCACCCACACCAGCTCCCACGCCAGCACCCACACCAGCTCCCACCACAGCACCCACCGCAGCACCCACACCCGCTCCCACCACAGCACCCACACCCGCTCCTTCACCAGCACCCACACCAGCTCCCACCACAGCACCCACACCAGCTCCTTCACCAGCACCCACACCCGCTCCCACCACAGCACCCACACCCGCTCCCACGCCAGCACCCACACCCGCTCCTTCACCAGCACCCACACCAGCTCCCACCACAGCACCCACACCCGCTCCCACCACAGCACCCACACCCGCTCCTTCACCAGCACCCACACCAGCTCCCACCACAGCACCCACACCCGCTCCCACGCCAGCACCCACACCCGCTCCTTCACCAGCACCCACACCCGCTCCCACCACAGCACCCACACCCGCTCCCACCACAGCACCCACACCCGCTCCCACGCCAGCACCCACACCCGCTCCCACCACAGCACCCACACCAGCTCCCACCACAGCACCCACACCAGCTCCCACGCCAGCACCCACACCCGCTCCTTCACCAGCACCCACACCAGCTCCCACCACAGCACCCACACCCGCTCCCACCACAGCACCCACACCCGCTCCCACCACAGCACCCACACCCGCTCCCACCACAGCACCCACACCCGCTCCCACCACAGCACCCACACCAGCTCCCACGCCAGCACCCACACCCGCTCCCACCACAGCACCCACACCAGCTCCCACCACAGCACCCACACCAGCTCCCACCACAGCACCCACACCCGCTCCCACCACAGCACCCACACCAGCTCCCACGCCAGCACCCACACCCGCTCCCACCACAGCACCCACACCAGCTCCCACCACAGCACCCACACCAGCTCCCACGCCAGCACCCACACCCGCTCCTTCACCAGCACCCACACCAGCTCCCACCACAGCACCCACACCCGCTCCCACCACAGCACCCACACCCGCTCCCACCACAGCACCCACACCCGCTCCCACCACAGCACCCACACCCGCTCCCACCACAGCACCCACACCAGCTCCCACGCCAGCACCCACACCCGCTCCCACCACAGCACCCACACCAGCTCCCACCACAGCACCCACACCAGCTCCCACCACAGCACCCACACCCGCTCCCACCACAGCACCCACACCAGCTCCCACGCCAGCACCCACACCAGCTCCCACGCCAGCACCCACACCCGCTCCCACGCCAGCACCCACACCAGCTCCTTCACCAGCACCCACACCAGCTCCCACGCCAGCACCCACACCCGCTCCCACGCCAGCACCCACACCCGCTCCCACCACAGCACCCACACCAGCTCCCACCACAGCACCCACACCAGCTCCCACCACAGCACCCACACCCGCTCCCACCACAGCACCCACACCCGCTCCCACCACAGCACCCACACCAGCTCCCACCACAGCACCCACACCAGCTCCTTCACCAGCACCCACACCAGCTCCCACCACAGCACCCACACCCGCTCCCACCACAGCACCCACACCAGCTCCTTCGCCAGCACCCACACCAGCTCCTTCACCAGCACCCACACCAGCTCCCACGCCAGCACCCACACCCGCTCCCACGCCAGCACCCACACCCGCTCCCACCACAGCACCCACACCCCCTCCCACCACAGCACCCACACCCGCTCCCACCACAGCACCCACACCAGCTCCCACGCCAGCACCCACACCCGCTCCCACGCCAGCACCCACACCAGCTCCCACCACAGCACCCACACCCGCTCCCACGCCAGCACCCACACCAGCTCCCACGCCAGCACCCACACCAGCTCCCACGCCAGCACCCACACCAGCTCCCACGCCAGCACCCACACCAGCTCCCACGCCAGCACCCACACCCGCTCCCACCACAGCACCCACACCAGCTCCCACCACAGCACCCACACCCGCTCCCACCACAGCACCCACACCAGCTCCCACCACAGCACCCACACCCGCTCCCACCACAGCACCCACACCAGCTCCCACGCCAGCACCCACACCCGCTCCCACCACAGCACCCACCGCAGCACCCACACCCGCTCCCACCACAGCACCCACACCCGCTCCCACCACAGCACCCACACCCGCTCCCACCACAGCACCCACACCAGCTCCCACCACAGCACCCACACCAGCTCCCACGCCAGCACCCACACCAGCTCCTTCACCAGCACCCACACCAGCTCCCACCACAGCACCCACACCAGCTCCCACCACAGCACCCACACCAGCTCCCACCACAGCACCCACACCAGCTCCCACCACAGCACCCACACCAGCTCCCACCACAGCACCCACACCAGCTCCCACCACAGCACCCACACCAGCTCCCACCACAGCACCCACACCAGCTCCCACGCCAGCACCCACACCCGCTCCCACCACAGCACCCACACCAGCTCCCACGCCAGCACCCACACCCGCTCCCACCACAGCACCCACCGCAGCTCCCACGCCAGCACCCACACCAGCTCCCACGCCAGCACCCACACCCGCTCCCACCACAGCACCCACACCAGCTCCCACGCCAGCACCCACACCCGCTCCCACCACAGCACCCACCGCAGCACCCACACCCGCTCCCACCACAGCACCCACACCCGCTCCCACCACAGCACCCACACCCGCTCCCACCACAGCACCCACACCAGCTCCCACCACAGCACCCACACCAGCTCCCACGCCAGCACCCACACCAGCTCCCACCACAGCACCCACACCAGCTCCCACCACAGCACCCACACCCGCTCCCACCACAGCACCCACACCAGCTCCCACCACAGCACCCACACCCGCTCCCACGCCAGCACCCACACCCGCTCCCACCACAGCACCCACACCCGCTCCCACCACAGCACCCACACCCGCTCCCACGCCAGCACCCACACCAGCTCCCACGCCAGCACCCACACCCGCTCCCACCACAGCACCCACCGCAGCACCCACACCAGCTCCCACGCCAGCACCCACACCAGCTCCCACCACAGCACCCACCACAGCACCCACCACAGCACCCACCACAGCACCCACCACAGCACCCACCACAGCACTCAGAACTGCACCCGCACCAGCAATCACACCAGCAACAGGTGTACAGCCCTGCCAGTTTCCTGTCCGACCTGAGTGAGCCACACTTGGGCTCTCTGGGCTGAGATCTGAGTATGGGTCCTTTCTCTTTTAAGGAGGTGACAGAGGCCAAACAGAGGCCATGAATTGTTTGTAATGTTTCCAAATGTTTGCTGTATTGTTTTTGGACTGCCATGTCTGTATATGTATTTGTTGTTCTGATTGCTATTGTTATTATTAATTGAGATGGGTGAATTATTATATACCGAGTTGAAATGATCTTTAATGTTTTGTGAGGATTGTATGTATGATGCTGCATGTTTAATGTCTTATTGTTTATTGAATAAATACATTCAGAGTAGCATACCTTAATGTTACTGCCAGTCTTTGGGAAGGACACACACTCCTTCTGTAGTTGGTCTCCTGGCGGCGGATTGTGGGACCAATAATGGAGAGCAGTTGATCCATTTGTTCCACAGACATTCGGAAATATTGGGAGATGTTTTTTGGGATAAATCCTGAGTTCAGCCACTAGGTGGCAGTAGGCTCCAAACTGCGCTCTTCTCTGGTTCATGGGGTGAATCCACGTTCTCGTCTTCCTCTGCCTTCCTCTGAGTCTCAACAGCAGAAGTACTGCAATGGCCTTTCTTTTAGCACGTTGATCTATAAAGGAAACATATGAAGTTTCAGAGAAATGTTGAATTTATCAATAACATAGTTTAGATACATTTTAGCAAAACAAATATGTTAACAAGGCAAATAATGATGCTATTTAAATCACGTTGCTGTTGAATTGGCAGTTAAAAAACGTTTACTGACAAAATGAATGTATCTAAAGTTATACACGTATGTAACTTACCCATATTGCAATTGATGAGGAAAATACGATTAAACAAACAGGTAGGTGGAGCTTCAAGGTTGTTTACTCGTCTCTCGCCTGTCCCCAGAGAGCGTCTCTTCTCTGCTGCTCCCGGTTGGTAAACAAACGCTTCTCAGAAAGTGCGCTCGTCCGAGGAGAGCTGCGCGTCACTCACTGCGCGTGCAGTGGGTACGGGGCGTCAAACTCATGATTATCAAAATCAATATCAGTGGATTTTATCCTCTATCCTGGGGAAAAAACAAACAAAAACAAAAACAAATAAAAACAAACAAAAACTATTGGACACAGTAGAACTCAGCAGATTCAGTCAAACAGACAAAAACGAGCTGAGTCTCAATTAGAAGCTAATTTCACTTTTCTTACTTACTCTATACTTTTATTCTAATGATAATTGTTTACACTTCACTTATTTCACTGTATTATTTTCACTTTTCAATCTTAGACTGTGTACTTTCTAATCTATTCACAAATATGTTTGCATATTCTTATTGAGCCATATTCTTAAACATACATTTTATAAATCTCTCTATGGTTTACTTTCATTATCAGTGGCTTTGTGTCAGTGGGATTTTGCTCTATGTCTATTCTACCTTCTCAGGAATAAAACTGTGAACACAGAAAGACAAATGGTTAATATGAACATTATTATGGCGGTCAGTTTTCCAAATACATTTGTTGAACCTGGAAGTGATGTCACTTCCTCCTCTCAGGCAGTTTGGGATGAATGTACTTCAATAATCAAATTAGTATTATCCTATTAAGAGCTAATCTGTTTTAGCAGGTTTGGGGTTGGGGTCAGTTATTCTACAATGGTGTTTGATTCTAATCTGTGCTGATGAATCAACAGCTTTTTAAACTTCTCAATATCTAAATATCTACTATTTTGTTTTTGGGCTATACTCAAATGCATCAAAATGCTTTTGAATCTCTGTTGGTTATAATCTATCTCATTAATCTAAGATACACGCGTGAACTTTTTGCATTGTCAACATTTACAGATGTTTGAACAGAAGTGAATTTGACAAGTATCTAATAAAACTGTAATTAACTTCATTTACTTTTGAAGTAAATGTTTGTGAAATGGTCCCTTTACCGTTTGATATTACCACTGACTGGAAACATTCTCTACTTTTGAAAGCATCTATGGTTGATGCATTTATCTATTTCTATTTCTCTATTGTGACTCCAAAGCTTGATTGCAGCTTGAGCCAAGGCATATTTCTAATTTGTGACTTCTGTCACTATTTAACATCTACTAAAACGCTACAATAATCATACTTTATCATTTTAACACATTTTAACAGTTGCTCAGTCTCTCAGACTAAAAAGTCAAAGTTTTTGTCTGTCAGATGTCTGAATACTTAACATGTGTTGCATTTGTGGTTCTGGTTGTAGCAATAGCATCGGCAATAGACGTTTTTCATTGGCTGGTTCTTGTTCTGCAAATGTCTGTGTCCAATAGATCATCAGATGTCCAGAAGCTAGAGACAAACAAAAACAAAAGAAAGAATCATGAGTATCTGTCTCATTTAGCACCTCAGGTCCTCAGGTCCTCAGGGTCCTCAGGTCCTCAGGTCCTCAGGGTCCTCAGATCCTCAGGTCCTCAGGGTCCTCAGGTCCTCAGGTCCTCAGGGTCCTCAGATCCTCAGGTCCTCAGGTCCTCAGGGTCCTCAGGTCCTCAGGGTCCTCAGGGTCCTCAGGTCCTCAGGGTCCTCAGGGTCCTCAGGGTCCTCAGGTCCTCAGGGTCCTCAGGTCCTCAGGGTCCTCAGGGTCCTCAGGTCCTCAGGGTCCTCAGGTCCTCAGGTCCTCAGGTCCTCAGGGTCCTCAGGTCCTCAGGGTCCTCAGGTCCTCAGGGTCCTCAGGTCCTCAGGGTCCTCAGGTCCTCAGGTTCCTCAGGTCCTCAGGGTCCTCAGGTCCTCAGGGTCCTCAGGGTCCTCAGGTCCTCAGGTCCTCAGGGTCCTCAGGGTCCTCAGGTCCTCAGGTCCTCAGGGTCCTCAGGTCCTCAGGGTCCTCAGGTCCTCAAGGTCCTCAGGGTCCTCAGGGTCCTCAGGGTCCTCAGGGTCCTCAGGTCCTCAGGGTCCTCAGGTCCTCAGGATCCTCAAGGTCCTCAGGTCCTCAGGGTCCTCAGATCCTCAGGGTCCTCAGGGTCCCCAGGGTCCTCAGGTCCTCAGGGTCCTCAGATCCTCAGGGTCCTCAGGGTCCTCAGGTCCTCAGGTCCTCAGGGTCCTCAGGTCCTCAAGGTCCTCAGGGTCCTCAGGGTCCTCAGGGTCCTCAGGTCCTCAGGGTCCTCAGGTCCTCAGGTCCTCAGGGTCCTCAGGGTCCTCAGGGTCCTCAGGGTCCTCAGGGTCCTCAGGGTCCTCAGGGTCCTCAGGGTCCTCAGGGTCCTCAGGTCCTCAGGGTCCTCAGGGTCCTCAGGGTCCTCAGGGTCCTCAGGTCCTCAGATCCTCAGGTCCTCAGGTCCTCAGGGTCCTCAGGGTCCCCTGAGGGTGAGGTTAGGTCTCAGTCTGGTCCATCAGGTCAGGTCATAGAGAGATGTCATCTTGGACATCAGTAGGGTCCAAGCCATGGTTCTGGTCTCTCCAGATGCACATCAGAATCTCCAGATACAGTCTTTTCACTTGAAGCACATCAGGTCATTTGCGATGCACTTCTGGTCAATGGTGCAGTGTCTCAGTTCCTGTACACAGCTTGTTATGCAGTAGTTACTCTCTATGGTTAAGTCACTTTGATTCTACTTTAAAGACAATTGATGACAAATGATTCAGTTTACTTCTCTAATTTGTGTTTTTATCAGATCTAATCCTAATCAATGTAATTACTCCACACAGTACAAAATCAAAACATAAAAAGTGTCAGGACAGTCCTAATATCTCACTCAGACCTGATGTGTGTGTTGTAGGTCCTAATATCTCACTCAGACCTGATGTGTGTGTTGTAGGTCCTAATATGTCACTCAGACCTGATGTGTGTGTTGTAGGTCCTAATATGTCACTCAGACCTGTCAAGGTCCTCATATGTGGCAATAAAATCATGCAGGAAAAAAGTTTCTTTTAACCAAAATATCAACAGCTAGCTGTGTTACTGATCTCACCCTGCTCCCCCCTATGTGATCCTCAGGTCTCTGGGACCTTCAGAAAGGCACGTCCTGATATGTCACAGTGCAGACATAGGTCCTCATTTGTCACGCAAACGCATATGTGTGGGTGTGTGTGTGTGTGTGTATGACTCTGGGGGTGTGAGTGTGTGTGTGTGTATGACTCTGGGTGTGTGTGTGTGTATGACTCTGGAGGTGTGAGTGTGTGTGTGTATGACTCTGGGGGTGTGTGTGTGTGTGTGTGTATGACTCTGGGTGTGTGTGTGTGTATGACTCTGGAGGTGTGAGTGTGTGTGTGTATGACTCTGGGGGTGTGAGTGTGTGTGTGTATGACTCTGGGTGTGTGTGTGTGTATGTAAGACTCTGGGGGTGTGAGTGTGTGTGTGTATGACTCTGGGTGTGTGTGTGTGTATGTAAGACTCTGGGGGTGTGAGTGTGTGTGTGTATGACTCTGGGTGTGTGTGTGTGTATGTATGACTCTGGGGGTGTGAGTGTGTGTGTGTATGTATGACTCTGCAGGTGTGTGTGTGTGTGTGTGTGTGTGTGTGTGTATGACTCTGGGGGTGTGAGTGTGTGTGTGTATGACTCTGGGGGTGTGAGTGTGTGTGTATGACTCTGGGGGTGTGAGTGTGTGTGTGTATGACTGTGGGTGTGTGTGTGTGTATGTATGACTCTGGGGGTGTGAGTGTGTGTGTGTATGTATGACTCTGCAGGTGTGAGTGTGTGTGTGTGTGTGTATGACTCTGGGGGTGTGAGTGTGTGTGTGTATGTATGACTCTGCAGGTGTGAGTGTGTGTGTGTGTATGTATGACTCTGGGGGTGTGAGTGTGTGTGTGTATGTATGACTGGGGGTGTGAGTGTGTGTGTGTATGTATGACTACACTGCCACACAGCCACTGCCACTGCCACAGCCACAGCCAGAGCCACAGCCACAGCCGCAGCCGCAGCCACAGCCACAGCCACAGCCACAGCCAGAGCCACTGCCACAGCCAGAGCCACTGCCACAGCCAGAGCCACAGCCGCAGCCGCAGCCGCAGCCGCAGCCACAGCCACTGCCACAGCCACAGCCA